TGATCCAGATGCTTGGTGACACGAAAGTGTTCATCCGGTGTCAGATCTAGTTTGGGATAGCAAAACAAACATAGGAGTGGAAACCTACCTATGGGCGATTTGTGAATGCTGACGAGTCTTAAACATAATGCATCTTTTCTTTTCCAGGGCCAGAGTGGAAACCTACTGGTCAGGTTTGAGAGAGATAGTTGTCTATGATCACGACAGTGGCGTATTCATACGTCTGTGACTCCAGTTCGAAAAGTTTAAGCTAAGATCTTATCAATTTTACTCTCTAGCAATGTTTTGAATCATTCGTACCCCTGAGAAAACCTCCCTGAACCCCAGCGCTTCTTTCTTATAGATTTACACCGTTTTATTTCAAGCTGTAGTTCAATATTTTCATTCCCTTTTTAATCGATTTTCATTTAAGCAATTAGGTTAGCCGTTTTTCTCGTTTTTACCCGTTTTCGTTAAGTTTAGTTATTAGGTCATTTTAATTTCCGTATTTTCTTTTTAAGATTCGTTTTTACATTTTAAACACATTACCAAAACCCCCACAAAACTTTCCTGGTTCTAGACTTCCTTACTTTATATTTCTTTCAAAGGCTTTTGCAGGAAAGATCCTCCTTCCCTGTGAATTTGATCCCTAAGTACTACAATCGATCAGCTATGCACTTGCGGCTATTGATTTCATTTAGGGTAAAACTTGACACCCCTCGACACACACCCACCACATCATATATGCATAGGTGCCCATAAGGGCATGTGAAAGTTGTTTTCTCTTGGTCATTGGGGTGAATCTGAAAGAAGCCTGAGTAACCATCTAAAAAGCAGTAATATGGATGATTAACAAGCCTTTCTAACATCTTTTCAATGAAGGGCAAATGATCTTTCCTAGAGGCTGCATTCAATTTTCTATAGTCTATGCACATTTTGTTGCATGTTACTGTTCTAGTTGAGATCAACTCATCCTTCTGATTTCTGAGAATAGTAATGCCACCTTTCTTAGGAACAATGTGAACTGGAGAAACCCATCTAGAATTAGAGATTGGATAGATAACCCCTGCTTCTAGGAGTATAAGGATATCATTCTTTACAGCATCCTTCAGGTTGGGGTTCAACCATCTTTGATGTTCTATTGAAGTCCTAGATTCCACCTCCAAATGTATCCTATGTGTGCATATAATAGGTGAAATCCCTTTGATGTCATCTAATGGATAGCCTACAGCTCTCCTAAACCTTCTTAGCTCATTAAATAATTATGCATGTTCTTCATGGTCTACTAAGCTATCATTTATGATGACAAGGTAAGACACATTAGGACCAAGAAATGCATACCTGAGACCACTAGGGAGTGACTTGAGTTCCACCTTAGGAGCCTTTAGTTCACTCCAATCCTCATCAAAGCTAGACTAACCATTGCCAGCTTCCTTGGTGTGCTCTTTCTCAGCATCTTTGCTAGCCTCTCCTGACTCTTTACCCACGGCCAAGCTTTCTTGAACTGACCCCAGGCTCAAACTGATTCTACTGATGCCTTGAACCTCTTGGCCGCCATTTCTCAGCTCCAAATATTGTATTTCAGCTCCTGCGGCCTTATGCTGGTCCAATGCCATCTTGTAGGCTTCACTTTCATCAGCTAAGTACCCATGTTCTCCTGGTTCTTTTTTCAAAGCAATTTGAAGAGGATCATCAAGATTTAACTCTTCTAGCAACTCATCAGCCAGCTGATCCATAGTCTCAATGTAGAAGACTTGGCCCTCAATAGTTGGCTTCTTCATGACCTCATTGATGTCAAACTTTAAGACCTCAGATCCTAGATGGAGATATATCTTTCCTCCTCTTACATCAATGATAGCACCAGCAGTTGCTAAGAAGGGTCTTCCCAAGATAAGAGGATCTTTTGGCTCCTCATCCATTTATAGCAAGATCATCCATTTATTGTTGGAACTTCAAAGTCTCCTATCTTTACCAGAAGATCTTCAAGAAGTCCTATTGGGAGCCTAACTGATCTATCAGCAAGAACCAAAGAGATCCTTGAAGGCTTGTAAACTATGAATCCTAACTTCTTTGCAGCTGAAAATGGTATTAAGCTGATTGATGCTCCAAGATCACACAAACAACTTGCAAACATAAGAGGAACTAGGGTGCAGGGAAATGTGAAACTCCCTGGATCAGATAGCTTTCTAGGGATTGTCTTCCTTTGAAAGATTGCACTGCACTCATGGTTAAGCACAACCATTCCTTGAAGCTATTTTGTCTTCTCAAGTATTGCATCTTTCAAGAATTTAGAGTACTGTGGCACCAAGAGAAAGGTTTCAATCAATGGCATTGTGATCTCCACTTTCTCCATTTGTTTATCAAAGAGTGCTCTTGCTTTCTTGATGCGAGCTAGGGTTGATGTCGCAAAAGAAGTTTTAAATTTGTAGACCTTAGTGTCTGCAAGTGCACAGCTGTGCGTTGTAGTAATTAGGGTGTCGATCCACAGGGAGAGTTGTCTTTTCTGCAAAAACTTCAAACTGGATTAGTAATCGAAGTCAAAGACCAATAGGGTTTTTTGTGGGGTTCTGGTGTTATGATTTTTACTAAGCTAAACAAGAAATAAAAATAGATAAAAACAAAGATGAAAAAGGAGCTGGGTATTAGGGTTCATCTCTAGGGTTCATGATCTATGACACAAGGAATCTAGGTAAGGATTTTCTATGATTCTGAAACTAGGATAGACACTTATAAGATTAGCCAACTCTCATCACCCCAATCATCTAATTCACTTATTCTTGGAAATTAACTCTTGCTCGCATGCCAGAATAAGATCATGCATTTCAGATCGGAATCCATCTTGGCTTATGTATCCTCCGTAGGTAGCTTTCGTCTCCTACGACGATGACATCCATAAGATCCAGTTCAGATAACCCAGATACAACACTCTCGTGGCTCGGATTTAACCTTGGATCGGACAATGGTTAGCTACTCCAGCGTACCGCTTTGAGTACAGGATGAATGGGAGAATCATTTAAAATCAAAATCCTTTAACCTAAAAAACCTAGATGTCATCGGTCATGGGGTCCCTTTCGATGGCCCTCTTACCCAACAAGGTAACTACTCAGACAAGACTGAGCTTGATAACATCATCATTGGTTTTGAAATAGAAAATCAGTAAAGTAAAAGAGATTGCATAAACTGAATAGATTGATGAAAAGAAAGAACAAAGGGTAAGAGAAAAATCTCTATCTCCCTAATCTAAACCTAAGAAACAAAAGTTGGGTGCCTCCCTAACAAGGGAAAAGGAGCACAAACGAATTAGGTCTTCTAAAATACATATTTATAGGTCTCTAAGTCTTTCTGGTCGTCAATAAGACCTTCTCTGAAGAGAGAATGAGTTGGGCTTGAAAACGGGCCATTGGGCCGAAAATGGGCTTGTTGCAGAATTGGGCTCTCCAGGGCTGTTAAATGTGGGTTCACTGAGGGTGGAGGTTCTGAGGCATATCCAGGAGAGTGTACACCGCGTTCAATAGCTTCTGGACCGCGGTGGTTGGCCTATGATGTCCAAACTTCATTCCTTCATTTGCTTCTTTCGCGAAATTGCAGAATATGTCTTCAGAAAATTGAGTATAATTTATGATCCAAGCGTTAGATTGCCCCAAATCCAATTGTATTATAAATCTGGTTGTCTCTTCTATATTTTTTCCAAATTCGAGCTTGATCAGACGGTTAGAAGGTCTTCATCGGATGTGAAACTTCCGACAGTCCGAAATTGGCCAAAAATGGATTTTTCTCCAATTTGCATTATTTTTGCCTAAGTAACCTGAAATGAGTCTTGAAACTATAAATATAGAAAAACCATGATAAAAAATTTAAAATAAATAAAAACCATTTGAAAAGCATTTATAATCAATCCATAAAAGTGGTTAAAATACGGTGTTATCATTTCTCTAGGAGTTGCTTATTGAATCTGCCAGAAAATGGCAGCTTAGGTTGATAAGGTGGTGGTGTAACCTAAGGCTTCTCAGGTGCCTTATCCATTGCCACTTCTTTCCCTTTAACATTCTTCTTAACTGATTGTTCTACAGCTTCATCATCTTGAGTTGTCTCTATAGGTGCCTCCCCACCAAGTTGCTCATTGTCCTCAATGAGCACATGTCTTTTCTCTCTTTCAGGGAACTCTTTATCACATCTCAAGGTTATAGCATGAGCATACTCCTTTGGGTTTGGCTCTGGTTAGCCTGGAAGAGTTCCCTGAGCTCTGGAAAATAATGACGCTTGATTCTTCTCTAGGGTCTTCAGCTGATTTTGTAGAGCCTCATATTTGGAGTTTAGGTCATTGAAGTTGTATTATACCCTTTAAGATCTGAACCCCACTGAGATCTGAACCCTGTTGTTGTGAAGGACCCTGCTGAACCTGTGGCAGACCAAAACCTGGAGGATACTTCTTCTGCTGAAAGCTGTCTTAATTTGTGTAGTTATTCCCTTGGTTCTGAACCTGTGGAAAGGCTTGGTTCCCTTGGTAAGTTTCTTGAAACTGATTCTTTTGAGCATACCCTTGATTATGTCCTTGTAGTGGAGGATAGACTTGATCACCTGGGTTAGCTACATTGGGGTTACCATAAGACAGCTTCTGGTTGTTGAAGTTGTTAAACCTGTTGAACTTTTGTTGGCCACCAATGTAGTTAAGCTCTTCTTGTGTCAAACCCTCTTCTTGGACATTTTCAAAACAGTTTGGCTCATCAAACTCGCCCACATAATGAATAGGTTTTTGGGAAGCCACTAACACCTTGTCAAGCTTGTATTGCAGCTCCTTTATATCCTTTCTCATCTTCTGTTCTTCATTAGACCCCTCTCCTCTATAAGACCTATCATACTCTTCACCATAGGTGTCATTACTCATTTCTAAATTCTCAACCAGCTCCATAGCAGCATTGATCTCTTTGGCAAGGAAGTTACCATTTGAGGCAGTATCAAGCTGATTTCAAATCTTTGGTAGGGCACCTCTATAAAGAGTGCTGAGCAATGATGCTTCTGAAAACCCATGGTGAGGACATTGATTGGTGTAACTTCTGAAACTCTCTAAAGATTCACCAAAATTGTTATTGTGATTTGTGTTTAGGATGAGATTTGGTTCCTGAGTTTTGAAGTCCTAGAGGTTGAAAAGAACTTGGACGAGAAAGCATGCTTGCATTGGTCCCAAGTCTGAATGAACCCTTGGGGAAGATTCTTCTTTTTTATCTGATTAGGTTTACGATTGTTTTTAGCATCAGTTAGAAGTCCTCAACACACAAATCCATGTGGATTCGATCCCTAAGTACTATTGCGTTTGCAGCTTGTTTAGGGTAAAACTTGTGTTCCCCACTGCAACCACATCAGTTATATGTTCTAACCCTTAATTAAAACCCATAACCAAAAGATTTCAAACAATAAGCATCACTCAAACAAGCACAACAAATCAAAGCCCCACATATATGAAGGTTTGTAATTTATACACACAGCTATCACCACCACAGAGAAGTAAAAACCATATGTGATACTAAAATTAAGCAGATGGGACTAACCTGTATAATTTACTTGAAATGAGTTTTGCGAGTTCACTTTCCTTTCAGATTAAAGTAATCTTCGAATCCCTAATTTTGCAGTTAGCTAACTCTACAAACAAATATAATGAAATTATTATGTACCAGCTGTGTAATCTCAATGAGATTTGAACCCAAATTCTGAAATACAAACTTCGGAACAAGATACATTACCTTTACAGCCACTTCCCGACAAACAACTTCGACATCGATGAATTTCTTGCTTCTATACGAAACCTCACAACATGAGATTGAAATCAGAGTAAATGAGACATATATAAGAGTGAAAACGAATTGAATGTGAAAATTAATTTGAGAAATTAATATCTTGTCTTTCGTTCGACTTGGTGTAGCTGAAGAGATGAATTCGAACTAGCCTGAGACTGAAGGAGTAAAAGCGTACTCAGATCTAGGTCCGTGAATGGTGCAAGCATGGTGCAATGCAGGTCCTATCGATCCTCCCTAGATGAATCCTCATCTCGCTGGTGCTGCTCCTAGAAGAAAGTGATGACACGCTCGAATCGCCGTCCCTGTGTCGCAACCCGTTGCCCCAAATCCAAGTGTGAGTGCGATGATGTAGATGATGAGGTATGATCGGACAGAGCTGGTGGCTGATAGTAAGAACGTGCTACAGTTACATCGCGCTTAGCCTTAGGGCAGGAGAGGAACAGATGGCAAGAACTCATCAGATCTTGGAGTCCATCGCGGGCGCGCTTGTCTTACAGTCTAGGGGCTGATGTTGAAGGTAAACAGACTCTGTGCTCATCGGTGCTGGTACAGTACTTGTAATCGAACCTGTCTGGGTCGAAAATGGCACGAGATTTAGTGTGATATCGAGAAAGATAGAGTAGATCATACCAGGTCTCAGAGAGTAGAGCATCAGATGAGAAATTGAATCCTACAGCCTGAAGTATGGCTGTGATGGTACTCCCAAAAGTAGTAGATGCATCTTCACATCCATGTAGGTCGTGTTTCACCTTCACCATGTTTTATGCGATGATCCAAGCAAAACAAGCAAGTCTGGGGTTCTCCAAGAATGGTATCTGAAGTGTAATAAGCTCGCACTTGAGGATACATCCCATGTTGGCTCGAGAGAAAACCATGTGTGCTAAGAGTTTTTGCACCACTCTCACCGCAGGATGAGTGAAAAGAGCTGACCTGAATCTTTCACTATCATAAACACCTTGACATATCTCTCTCCATAGGTCTAAGTCAGGTTCCTCCTTGAGGTGAATGCCATCAATGTATGGGAGCTTCAAAGCTTCACAAAAGTCTGAGATAGTGAGTGAGTAAGACTGTCTGAGGATAAAGAAAGATAGAATCTTGTTTGATGTTCTCGGGCTCCTCCTCTTCGTGTGGTGGAGTGTGAAGGTTGATAGAAATTTGCGGACTAGATCAGCATAGGTAGGGAGATTCAGCTCCATGTACGGTCACAATCCATGAGCATTGAGGTACCAGACAACATCCTCTCTAATCTCGAGCGTCTCAAGTGTGTGATAGTCAATGCAAGGCATTGGCTTAATGTTCAGCTTCTTGAACTTTCTTGCACAGTAAATCCTCGTGTTTATCTCTTTCCCGATCTAGCGAATGTTCTGTGGTTCAGGAGATGGCACAGCTTTCCGCGGATGTTGGAGGTGCTTCCGTATGCAACCCGGACCTCATGGTCTGGCTTGGCTTAGGATGTACTCTTCAAGAGTGCTGTCATCAGGTGCTATCTCTGGGTTGTCATCGGTATGACTGCTCCTTCTAGATCGGGTTTGGTCCATGTTCCTACAAAACAAGATAAATTCTTGGCAAAAGAGTGAATATAGGAGTTGAATTGACTAGATTAATGATTAAAGATACAAATTTAAGTATCAGAATGCTAAATCAATCAACAAATGGGTAATATTGATACCAACTTTGAAAAATCGAGTAGTTCATGGTCAGATTCGGATTTGTGATGTTCTTGACATAGAAATTTTCTAAAAATTGATTTGAATGACCAATTTTTATGCATAATCTATAGATTACCTAATACTAGTCACTAATCACACAAAATTTAATTAAATTTTACCAATTTGCTTTCTCCAAATTCGATTTTTCTCAAAGAAGCTTGTAGATTCCAAGATTCAAAATCTCAAATTCTCATCAACCAGGTGTTAAAATCGATTTCCAGACAACCTAGAAGGTTAGTCTAAACTTCTTAAGCAATCTCTACCTAGATTAGATCTAGATCTAAGCTTTTAAGAAAAACCTAGACTCTAAAACTAAGAAAAAGATGAGTTGCTTCATACTTTGGTGGAGAGGGAGAGGTGGTTAAAGAATTGAAGTCTACTTTGAAAGATAGTGAAGTTTGGCCAAAGAAGCTCTTAAAAAGGTTAAGAACTGAAAAAGTGTTCTATCTCCTAAATCTCCAACTCTTTTGGAGGAGAAGAAGAAAAAGGGGTTTTGATCCAAAAAGTTCATTTCTTTTATTTAAAAAAGTGTTTTTATGGCTAAAAAGGGAAATTTTCGGGATTTCAAAAGCTTGTGGGAACTTACCTTAGCTTGATGGTTACGGAATCGGGAATCAGGAAATTTTTAAACTTACGGGATTTTGGAAGGAGCTCGACCGGATTTAGTTCGGATTAGCATTGTAGGAAGAAGGTTGGAAGGGCTTTCGGCTCAACGACCAGCGGCCGCGACCGCAGTGAAACCATGTTTGGCCGCGGGTACATTTTCGGGACCGCGGTCGATACTAGGTCGGCCGCTGGTTGGTTGATCGCGACCGCGGCTGGTCCTCTTGCGGAATGACTTCATTTCTTTTGTTTTTGCTGGACCAAACAACTAAAAACAGACACCTCTTTTTTGGTTTTTTTTTAATTTTTTGATTTTTTGGTCTATTTGTTTTATTAGAACACCTGTAACTAAAAGAAAAAGAGAAAACATAAATAGAAAAAGAAAAAGAAAATTTAAGAAAAGTGTACCTAAATGGGTTACCTCCCATTAAGCGCTTCGTTTTAAGTCGTTTAGCTCGATTTTAGTGAAGAGGATCAGGCAAGGGGATATGGCACTTTTCTAGGTGTGCCTTCAACATCCTTGAGCTTTGTTGATTCAACTTCCTCTCCTTGTAGTACCAGTTTTTTTCCTTTATTCTTCTTACGGATTTTAACATTGCTTAGGACTTTTTTAGTGCCTTCAATCAGCTTCTGGATCTGCTCTTTGTTGGTCTCCACTAAATCTGGTGGGACAACGATCTTGACTTTTGAAAAGGGTCTCGTCTTGTGGTCTGACTTTTTCTTGTCCTTCTTTTTTGGTCGATTTCCCTTGGGCTTTGTCTTGTCATTTTGAACTTCGTCTCGGACAGTGGGATATAACATCTGGTGATCCACATTCAAAAAGATGGCACACTGGTTTGCATGATCGATTACCGCACCTACAGTTGCTATAAATGGACAGCCAAAGATGAGCGATTTCTCTTTGTCTTGATCCATGTCAAGAACTTAGAAATCTGCTAGAACAATCTTATTTCCTATAAGAATTTGCAGGTCTTGAATCACCCCTTCAGTATCCTTTTGAGAAGAATCTCTGAAACAACTTTGAAAGTCGATTTCTTGAGTGCGTTTACTCCTAACTTCTCAGCAAAAATCTTGGACATGATGTTGACATTGGCTCCGGAATCGCGTAAACAATCCACGAACTTGATTCCTGAAATGAAACGTTGGAAAGAGAAACATCCCGGATCATTGGCTTTGGTGAACCTTTTAAACGGGGAACGCTGAGATACCTTGAAAGGTGAACGCTGAGGCACAAAATTTGAGGTTTTCATGTCCGCTTCATTTTTCGTTGCTCCTTCTCCGGGCAGTGTGGTGATAGCATTGCAGAATCTTTTCGGGTTATGTTCAACCCTTCCCGGAAGAGCTCCATTCTGTCTCTTCATGGAATCGGCTGTATAGGCAACTTGAAAGTCTAGCTTTTTGACGTGGGTGGACAGGGCTTCAAACTTCCGGTTTAGATCATTGTACATACAATCGACCTTCACATTTATGTCTTTGGCTGTCTTCTCATTTGTCATGAAAAGTTGCTGGATTGATTGCTCAAGTTTTCCGATTTACAAGGCTATTTGGTTTGTTGTGACTCCTTGCTGCTGTCAATACTGATTATTGAATTTGTACCTTGGTAGTTGTATGATGGTTGCGGCTGGAAACCTCCATTTCCTCCAAAATTCCCGTTTTGGAATTTGTTTTGGAATGGTCTCTGCTGCGGTGGGAATTGCTGATTCTGGGGATTCTCTACATTTGGATTTCAGTAAGAGAGATTGTTGAAATTGGCATTGTGGAAGTTGTTGTTGAAACCATTGTTGAAGCGGTTCGGATACGGTCCTTGTGCTCCTACATAGTTCACATCTTCTTCTTGAAAGGTTGGATTGTTGTGATCCGCTTCACAAAATCCTTCATGTTCTATGCCATTTGTGGTCTCACAGGCATGGACTATGCGATTATGGCTCTTGAGAAGTTGGCTCATCATGTTCTTTAGCTCGGTAATCTCCTTGATATCCGTTCTAGTCGGCTTTGTTGAACAATCACACTCTGGACAATCGTTGTTATTAGCTTGAGCGAGATTTACGATGAGAGCTCTTCCTTGTGCGATTTTCTTTTATCTGAAATCTCCGTTTCTGGCTGTGTCAAGTAAGAGCTTGTACTTTGGTTGCAATTCTCTATATAATGTGCTTAGCAGGCTTAATCCGAGAAATCCGTGGTGTGGACAATCACATTCATACTCCTTAAAATGCTCCCAATCTTCATAAAAAGATTCAACCGGACTTTACTGGAACACTTTGGATTTTTTTTCTCAGCAAGTTCGACCTTGACTTAGTACATAAGTGGTTTAGGAAAGCGGTTTTACATTCTTCCCAATTAGTGATCGATCCTGCAAGAAAAAAAATTTCAACCAACAGGGAGCTTTATCTGCTAATGAAAAAGGGAACAACTTACACTTCAGATAATCTGTGGGAATTTGGTTTATTCTTATCACGCTGCAGATTCCTTCAAAAAGCTCAATGTGATCCATTGGATGTTCAGAAGGAACTCCATGGAATTAGTTTTGTTTCACCAAAGAGATTATCTGCTTGACTTCGAACTCATTCTTGCATAGACTTTCATAAGCTGGAACGTCATAAGCTTCACTAGTTTTCTGGTAATGTCTCCATATATTTTTCTATTCAGAGCTTAAAGATGAGATTTCAGAGCTTTTAGTTTACGATGGAACCGATGAAGGGCTGGTCGAGAATGAAACAGAGGAGGGGACTTTCCCCACACTTAAGCGACTACCTCCAAAAATTGCGGATGTGCCGTTAAGTAGTTCAAGAACTGGAAGTTGTGTCTCTTTTCTGGTGCACAATTGTTTAATCGAACTATGCAGCAAGCATGATCAGAGATACCATTAGTCTCAAAGGCAGCATAAGATTGGGTCTACAGCATCTCGGTTTTGAGGATTTCTTGGAGGGATTGGTTTTCCATCTCCATCGAGCTGAGGTTGATAATCTCCTCTATGATCATCCTCTCGATCATCACCATGATCGGAATCGTCATGGTCTTCATTAAGGTTGCGGTTTACAAGATCTCCAGGTTGGTCGTCGTCGGCCATTCCTTGCGTTTGTCTAAGTCTTCGAAATTCTCTTTCGTGTCTATCAATCTCGTCTAGAATCGGGATATTTGATGCAGATTTGCGCCTGGTATTCATCCACTTCCTTTAAAGACAGAGAAAAACAAAAAAGAGGAAAGAGATATCACAAACTTAAAAAGGAACTAGAGATCAGGTGTCTAGAACAGAAATTAGAACAACAAAAATTAAAAGGCAGCGAAGCAAATCCCCGGCAACGGCGCCAAAAACTTGAAGTGCGGTGTGTGCGAACAAGTTTTACCCTAAAAGTAAATAAATGAAAGCTGCAATTGCACAGCTCATCAATTGTAGTACTTAGGGATCGAATCCACAGGGATTTGTGTGCTAAGTATATTCCTACGGTTTCTAAGTTTATCTCTAGACTAATCGGTTTAAAGAGGTTGGGTGTGTGTCACGGTTTAAACTAAACAAAAGAAAGCAAATAAAACTATCTTAGAAAGCAAGCAGAATATCGAATGAAAGCAAAGTAAAAATGAAGATCTAAGTAAGCAGGTAAGTAAATTGATGGGGATGTAAGCAGTAATTAAAAATGCTACACTTTCGGTGTAACAACGCGGGTTTTAAGTAACGCGGACAGGCGGCCGCTGGAAGATGATGCGTCGGGAACGGATCAAGGAAAATCCGAATTTCGGTCAAGGAAGTTGGGTTCTGCCGAGAGAAGAAATTTTGGCCATGGAACGAAGGGAATGGCCGAGAGAAAACGGATTTAGCCGATAAAATCAGTTTTGGCTGAGGAGCAGCGGTTTAGCTGAGAGAAGCTAAGTCTGAATGTAAAAGTTTCGAGAATCTGGGAAGTGTGGATTTTGGCCGATAGATCACATGCAAGTATCAAGACCAGTCAGTCCGTCACGGTTTGGTAGTCGAATTATGGAAATGCAATGGAGGTTATTTCCGGATAAGGACAGATGTGGCTGGTTCTAGTCCACACACTTGGCGCGAAATTAGAAAACTTGATGGCTAAGGCTAAGTGACAAGTATTTAAGGTAAATGACAAGTGTTTAGCCAAGTGTCAACCTTAATACCAAGAGTCAGCCATTAAGCACCACCTTGATTCCAATAAATACTCACCCCTTAAGCTCAGAAATATCACTTTAGAAATCTGAGAAATCTTAGAGAGAGAAAGTAGTGAGATAAAGGAGATAAGTGCGAGTATTTGGCGAGAGGATTCTGCTAGCAAGAAGTGCTTGCGCGGTGCTGGCTTAGCGAACGGTCGGTAAGCCGTAGAGTTGATGTGGTGGTGTGTGAGGGTTGTCAAGTTATACCCTAATTGAAATCAATAGCCGCAAGTGCACAGCTGATCGATTGTAGTACTTAGGGATCGAATCCGCAGAGAAGGAGGATCTTTTCCTGCAAAAAACTTTTGAAATAAGTATAAAGTAAGGAAGTTTAGAACCAAAACGGTTTTGTGGGGGTTTGGTAGTGTGTTTGAAATGCAAAAACGAAATCTTAAAAGAGAATACGGGAATTAAATGACGTAATAACTAAACTTAACGAAAATGACTAAAAATGTAAAAAACGGATTTCTAATTGCTAAGATGAAAATCTACTAAAAAGGACAGACAATATTGAACTAAAGCTTGAAATAAAAACGATGTAAATCTATGGGAAAGAAGGCGTTGGGGTTCAGGGAAGTTTTCTCAGGGGTACGAACGATTCAAAACATTGCTAGAGAGTAAAATTGATAAGATCTTAGCTTAAACTTTTCGAACTAGAGTCACAGACGTATGAATACGTCACTGTCGTGATCATAGACAACTATCTCTCTCAACCTTGACCAGTAGGTTTCCACTCTGGCCCTGGAAAAGAAGAGATGCATTATGTTTAAGACTCGCCCTCATTCACAAATCGCCCATAGGTAGGTTTCCACTCTTATGTTTGTTTTGCTCTCCCAAACTAGATCTGACACCGGATGAACACTTTCGTGTCACTAAGCATCTGGATCAGATTGTAGTTCATGACCCTACTCTCATGCAGTAAAAACGAATTCAGAAGAAAAAGTTCTATGATTCGGCTCAAAACTTCATGGAATCCTCACCAAACATATAAATCCCCATCGAAAATCCCTTAATCCCAACAATAAAACTACTCAGACATGGTGAAAGAAATCAAAGACATAGTATTAAGAAGTAGAATAGAAACCGAAATTGAAAAAGAAAGAACAAGGGTTCAAGAGAACAAATCTCTCTCTCCCTAAAAGCTAAAGCAAAAACAATAAAAATATGGAGTAATGATAGATGGTATTCGGTTACACCTCGTTTAGGGTTCCTAAGACATGTATTTATAGTGCTCAAGACCTCTCTGGACGTCACTTAGGGTTTCTCCAAATGAGGAAATCATTGTGGGCTTCATAAATGGGTTTTTGGGCTCGGAGGTTGCTGGCCGCGGTCGGGAGTGCTGTGACCGTGGGGAATGAGTGTTTGCTGCGGTCGGGATGCTCCTGACCGTGGGGAATGAGTGTTTGGTCGCGGGTGGAAGTGCTTGCCGGCTGGTTTACGGGACATCTTGCTCTTCGCGTATCTTTTGATTGAACCGTTGGATTGCCAAGCTGTAAAGTGCACTGGAAAGCTGATACTTCCATCTTTAAGGTCTCCAAATTTGAGCTGGATCAGACGGTGAAAAGGCCTAAAGAAAAAGAAAAAGAAAAAGATCAAAAGAAAAAGAAAGAAAAATCCTAAAGAAAACAATACCTAAATGGGTTGCCTCCCATTAAGCGCTTCTGTTTTAAGTCGTTTAGCTCGACTTTTGGTGTTGGACGTGACTTATTCCAATGAAGAAGACTTTGTCCTGAGACAAGTCTTTTTCGACATCTCCTTGCTTTGCTTAGCAGGTTCTTCGTCACTCCAAAGTTCTTCTTCAAACTCTTCTGCTGCAGAATGTTTTCCTGCTTTGCTGTTGTATGGAACAGCTTCTGTGAAGACAACTTTGTCGATATTAGCAAATGAAATCCTCTGGTTTGGCCAGTCCATTATAGCTCCGGAAGTTGCTAGAAAAGACCATCCCAGAATCACTGGATATGTTGCATCTCTCGTTTCGACAATGTAGAAGTCGACAGGCACTATGCAATCTCCTATTCTCAAAGGAATTTCATGAGCTATTCCTTGAGGTGTTGCATTTGAATCATCAGCTAGACTAATCTTTGCTCTAGTCCTGCGCAAGTGTTTAATACCAAGTCTCAAAGCAATTGCCTTGGACATCATGTTAAGACAAGCTCCAGAATCACATAGCACTTTTTTAAACATTTCTCCTCTAATAGAACAAGAGATAAGAAACTGACCTGTAGTCTTGACCTTATGGAGAATTCGAACTTGCCTTTCTCTTTAGGCGTTGGCTGGTGTCTCAATCGCAGAATAGGATTCACAAAAGAAAGCTGCAGCGTCATATTCAATGATTGAATCGATGTATGGCATCTTTATCTCACTGCATGTCTGGTCTTCTTGGATTGAAGAGTCAGCTGAATCTTCAACACATTCCTTTGCCATCATACAAGGTAATGATTCCTGCCAATCTGTTTCTTCATCTGAAACTTGGTTTTCTTCTCCCTGAGTTGCTTTTTTAGGTGCTGGTGGCTGAAGCTGGGACAGGAGATGTATTATTTTCCTCTCAAAACCCGGAGGAGCATCTGAGCGACCAACTCCCACGGTCATAGGAGTCGCGACCGCGGGGAACAGGGTCTTGACCGCGGTCGGAACGCTCGAACCCGCGGCCCCGGATGTAAACTGCTCATAATCCGTCTCTTCCTTCTTGTACTTGATACGAACCTCTCCAGCTTCTTTATTGGGTAGACTAGCATCAATTGAACTCATACCAGGGTGTTGTTGGGCATCTTCATCAGGATTTTTGGGAGATTTCTTAGCAAACCTCTCAATTTCCTCAATGTTGGGCATCTGCTCCATTCTTGCATCAATCTCACGTGCTTTGAGCTCGAGTTTGTTCAGCCTGTGCTCGATCTCTTGCAACTCTTCGTCTGTCTTCTCTCTATACCAGGAGGTGGATTCTCTGACTTCTTTAATCTCCTGTTTTGATTCGACAATATCACTTGAGTTTTGTATGATGTCATACCCTTGTCTTGTCTGCTCTGTTGCTACTTGGTGGATCATCCCAGCTAGTGTTTGTGAGTTCTTGTGGGTTTGGTCTTCCAAAATTCGAACATGATTGGCCATCTCATCGAATTTTTTGTT